ACGTAATATTTAAAATTAAGGAAATTAATTTTTTTTACAGAAAAAATCATCCCCATCAACATTTAATTGACAGAGGACAAAATTCGTATTAGAAAATTGAAGTTTAAGGATTATTTTAGTAGTTTTTAAAGTTTATAGGACCAACTTAATCCAAACTCAAAGTTAAGGTCAGGGGGCCCACTTCTGTTCTTTAGAAATCCAATTACGCTGCATTTCCATTTCGTGTTTCTCTCCGACAAGGAAAGGAATGACATGTAATGTATCAACAAAAGCGGCGGATACCAACTACCTGTTGGTTCGACGGGAAAGAACTCAGTTTCTTTTAAATAAGATCTTGAGTTCGAGTATTGTGAATGGAGAAACAGGCGCCGAAAGAACTTCTCTCTAATGGAATCCAACGTGACTCGATTCTAAATTAGTCAAAATCTAAAATGATTATCAGATACTGAGAGATTAATACAAAAAAAAAAAAACCACGAATAGTCATATGCAAATCAACAAAAACAGTGAATCCCAAATAAGCCAATAAATTTGATGTGGGCCATGTGCCTATGGACAATCCTGATTTAGACCTGCTAAAATTAGTTCTAATTGGAAAATTCAACCTAACTCATTTGTTTTAGGTAGATAGGATCATGAATTTTATGTGTTAATTTAAAATTTAAAATAATCTGAATTTAAATTATTTGAATTTAAATAGGTTGGATCATGGGTGGGTTGGATCACCCAAAATAACTCGAATTTTTTTTTATTCATTGGTATTCAATTACTTAAAAATTAATGTTAAATTTTTAATTTTTTAATTCTAAAAATATAAATAAATAAAATACTCAAACCCTGATTTCTCATCAATTTCACTTTTTTTTAACTTTTCCTTTTCTCCACTCTCGGCTCTCCCCTTCTTCATCCCAACCTCTCTAATTTTTCTTTTTGGTGGTACTTGCGTAAAAATTTAGATTAGTGGCACATAGTAAGTTATATCATATGATATCGTAAAAAAGATTATTTTTTAAAAAATAAAAAGTAAGAATATCTACTGAAAATCAAAACTCAGTAGTTGAGATATCCTCGTAACCATCAAAAGTATAAAGACAAAAATATCAAAAACATCAAGATCCATTTTTAGTTGCTAATTTATTCTTAATTAATAATTTGTTCTTAATTAATAAAAATCGATTTCGATCCAATTTTTTCTTGTATTTAATTAGACAAATTTTGAATTTACCTTTAAAACTTTAACATTGAATATGGTTATATTTTTTTGTATAATGCCCTCTTAAATATCGAATAGAATTGTATTTTTTGTATAATACTCTTATAAATATTAAATAGGCACTAGATATTAATATATATATTGAATTTGTCTTTTGAACTCTAATCCTTCGTGTCTTTTCTTTTAATGAAGGTTAATAACTTTATGAAATTATGAATTTTAAATATTATATAGGTATTATATATTTAACATATATTTTAGTTTCACTTATATAATCAATAATCTTTTTTTTATTGAGATTGAAAAAAAAATTGAATTATGAAATGAAAATTAACGTTTAATAAAATTTTCTAACTATATAGCTAATTAATATTAGATTTTATTAAAAAAATTAAAAAAATATAAAAAATGACCTAATCTGAATTCACTCTGGCATATTTGCCAGGCCTATCCTGATTACTTACGGAAACACGTGTCGGACTCAAAGCTAGTACACAATTACTGTTTTTTTTTACTATCATGTTAAAGAGTTTTAAAGCAAAAGGATTTCTTTAACTTGTATTTAAAAATAGGCAAAACCATAAGTTAAGCCCCTAAACTAACCCCAGAATCACTATTAAGCCCCTAGACTTTAATTGATGCAGTTAAGCCCTTGAACTCTGGGA